GAAAAACCTCCTGCTCACTTGATAAATGCAGAGCACCTGAGAAGTAAAATGACTTACGTAAGGTCACTGGCAGAATTGGAAATGAATTGTAGATCAGCAGCTCTGCACTTAAAGGTTTCCCCTCAACCCCTTTTGGGGTTGGTCTGTTTTTTTTACAGTGTCTCTTCCTGATAGAGCATGGTATCCTTGGTATAATTCTGTAGATGGGTTACTGTCTGAACTACGCTTGACTAGAGTGTGGATCAGGGAAAAAGAAATTTAGGGAGTCTCCACATACAAGTATAGTAACATCCCTCTAATTTAGAGCTGTTATTTGTCTAGAAATGCTATTTGCTACACACAGCATTATCAGAATAACCCTTTTCCAGAAATTGCATGGCTGAAAATGTTGGTGAAAGGTAATGGGAAGAAAAATCTTGACTTCTACAGAGCAATGGATTGACTCTTTAATTGTGGGGTTTGAAATAAGCCCTGATTTCTACTTGACATGAAAAAACGGTATTAATGAAATAAATAACTTCAAAACATTTGCTAAATGTTGTGGTGAATGCCCTTCTAGAGAAGTTTTTGAAGAAAACTCAGATGCCTTTTTAAAAATGTAGACTCCATGCAAATGAGTTTTCAGTGTCATGTACTTGAAATCAAGCTTGATAATTATCCTTTTGGCCTTTTAAGATGATGATTTCCATTTGTTCAGTGTCCTCTTCTTCATTTATGCATGCATGTATTTCTAAGAGTTTTCTGCTTATTTACCTGCAGGTTCTTGGCTAAAGGACAGAATGCTCTAATAGAACTACAAACTCAAAGACCTGTTGCTCTAGAGTTGTATAAAGATTTTAGAGAGCTGGGGAGGTTTATGTTACGCTACAGTGGTTCCACTATTGCTGCAGGAGTTGTTACAGAGGTATGGCATTTTTCTAATGGACTTTCAGTACGAGAGAAGAACAGTGTTATGGTTAAGAAGTGTTTTACACCCTTTAGGCTAAAAAGTGATTTTATTTTTCTGCTAAAAAAGAGAGTGCTTCAACAAGATGTGATGAAAACTTCTCATTGTTCTGTTCAGTTTATTAGGAGTAAAAATTTCTATATTTGGAATTTTTTTAAGTTGTACATTTTTCCCCCTTTAGTTAAAAAATAACCCTTCACTCTTTTAATATATATCAGTCTTTTGAATCTACCTGTATAAATATACTGGAAGTAGTTTGTAAACTTGAAATATTGGCCATTTTTACTGTGTCTAGTTTGGGTCCCAGATCTCTTCTGTTAGCATTCAAGACAGTTGTACATTTAATTCTTTCTGATTTGTATAGACATTTTGTGATCCTTCATAAATGAGAGGAAGCAAAGGCTCTGAGGCTAAACATAAATGTTTTGCCTTCTGCTGTAAGCAAAAAATATGAATGTCCTTCTATCTGTCAGTTTGAAAAACCTTACTATGATTTTTTTGGATGAGAATTTACATTCTAATTCTAGGCCTGAAGGACCACAATTTAGTCACTTTAACCAAGTTCTGATACTGATACTTAGACCTCATTCATTTAATGTCAAAACTTTGAATTAGGGCATGAAGATTTCTGATTTCTTGTGTGTGCATAGGAATAATGTGCTAGGCCTGTCAGGCTCTGGGGCTTATGAAGCTTTAATGTTCTTAATAATCTGTCTGATCTTAAATAGGATCCAGAATTAGGCCTTTAATCTCGCACCCATTTTTCATTAAATTTAACTTGTAGTGAGTGGGGTTCTATTTAGATTTGCACTGACCAATGTTTGTAGAATTGTGACTAAATAAACTCTTCGGTTGTTATTTGGGAATTAGTATTTTGCTCCTGTATCTTATTCCAGAGAATTTCAGAGGAAAAGGAGTTACCTTCTCCAGGCTAACTATTATCATGTTGAAAAATGCTTCATTCAGTGCTTCATTATTCACCATCAGGGTTTTTTTCCATTTGCTTATATTTTTAGATTAAAGAATGACAGTGGTGACAGAATTTCCACCGATCAACCAAAACTCAATCAGATATCCAGACTTCTGTTTAAGAATCCAGTTATTTCTATTGATGGAACAAGTGCAATTAACTGAGGAGAAGATGATGACAAAAGTTAAATCACATGAGACATCTGGGGATCGCTTCATCATCGGTCTCTCCCACTGCAGGACAAGATGCTGACTGACATGGAACTGCTAGTGTTGCACTTCTTGATCTCAAGAATCTCCTGTTTCTTCTCCATGCAGAATTTAGCCCTTAGTGAAGTTGGTGGAAAAATCTTAGGAAGTTGAATTAGAGAAAAAGGTGATGAATTATTGTGAAAAAAAACCCTCCTTCCTTCCAGACATAAATTGTTTACATATTTTCTTTGATTGCTTTTTTGCTGCACATTAATTCAGTAAAGTAACTTTATTGGTCTAATATATTTTTAGGTTTGAGTTGAATTCATATTCAGGGAAAAAAAGAACTATTTACTTTGGTGTCAAGAGGATGGCGTGTAGTATTATCCTGGGATTGTTTTCCCTGTCCCAAAATTTATTTAAAATAAAAAGACATTTTCTTTTGCTGTGTAGTGGAAGCTGTGCCAACTTTGGCTAATTTTATTTTTAAAACATAAGAATAATAAAATTAATTTGTCTGAGCATTTTTGTCTCCATCTTTTGTTATTTAAACACTTCCAAATTGTGTTGAAACATTCTTTGCTTTACATAACTGAGAAGTTTCAGAGTAAACTTATGAGTTAAAATCCGAAACTGACATGCAGCTTGTCTTTCTGAAGAAATAATTTCAGTTTTTCTCATGTTACTCATTGCAGCTACCGTGCATACACTTCCCTTTCATTCACACTTAGTGCTTTTTTGAACAAAAGCTGACAGTTTAATCTTGTGATGTCTGCTAAAGCCAGATTGTTGTGCTTACTTAGGTCTGTAACTCCTTCCTGCATTTCAGTAACGGGGCAGGTGAAACCTGCCAACTGAAAAGAAAGTCCTGCTGCCACCTCTAGCTTAAGCTCAGGACAGACACACTTCACTACAACGTGGAATTTCTTTTTCCATAGGAAGTGTGAGAGGAACTCAGGTATTTCAGGACCCTTATGCGAGTCCAAAGTGGAGACAACTCTGTCCATAGTTGTGGGGGGACAGGAACTAAAATACTCCAGAGCACTGGCCACTAGAGGTAGCTGAACTAATGCTGTGTCCAGGGTAGTGAAGAACAGTGTGATCATTATTTAGTTGAAAGTCATGTACAGTCTGTACCTACTCTTCCCACATACTTTTTTTGATAGGTACCTTTTAGGCACTTCAGTGCTTTAGCCCCAGTTCAGCAGTTGGCCACATGGATAAATTGTACTGTTGACTGCACACACGTTTGTAGAAATATCAGCAATGCTTTATGTGGAAATTACTTTTGTAAAATCCTGCGTGTCTGAATTAGCTGAAAATCGTTACTGCCAAAACTGAAGCTTATGAATTATCGTCATTTGTTTTGTCTTTTTCAAGTCTAAAAATTGAACTTTAGTACCGGTTTCCACATGCCAGCAGTGGAGGTTTTGGTGCCCTTGCTGGATTCCAGAGATTCATACTGCCAAAGTCCTGCACCACTGTTCCACTTGAACTCGTCTTCAAACCTTGAAAATGTTTAGGTTCCTTTAAAGTCAGGGGCAGCTACAAGCATAAGAATGTGTCTTCAGTTTGAAGACTTCTGTACATTCTTCACTGTATGTGGACAAGGAAGTGTGCTACAGGGTGAACGTCTGATAGCCCTTCTCATGTATGGTTGCTCTAAATTTTGAGGCTCAGTATTCTGTGATGACAAAAAAGCTACTGCATGCTTTCCCAGCTTGTAGTTTGGGAGGATCAGAGGTATTACCTAATCCAGTTTCAACATGACTGCACTGCCTTTCAGCACAACTTTGAACTCTGCCCAGAGGTGCCAGTTGGTGGAAGCATAAATGATCTGTTGTTATGCAATAGAAATATATCACCTTTTTTGATCAAAATATGCTTGCATGTTGACCCACAATAAATTTTATGGCTTGACAGTAGGTCTAGGGTGCAAAACCTTTCTAAACTGCTGTTTGAGATATTCACAATCTCCTGGTGGCAACATACTGCTCTCTGGGTGTAGTGTTTTGAATATCTCTGGAGTGCATGGAGGTGGTATGCAATCTTAGAGCATTTCTATAATCTAAGCATTCTCTCTTGTACAAAAATGTCTTTTACTCAGCTCTTACTGGGCAATTTGGATTCTTGGGAAGTCAATGAAAAGGCCTAATTATATGTAATGGGCTTCTCAATAGTAAGGTGGCTTCCTCTGGAATATCTGTGGAAGGAAAAGCATGAAAGCCAGCATCTTGCTTTTATTTTAAACAAAAACATTCTGACAATATGCAACAGAGTGTATTGGGTAGGACTCTGCTTCTCAGCTGTTTGAATTGAGGGGTTACTCAGCTGTTTGTATTGTTTGATGTTTGGGCATATTGATGGAAAAAAAGAGTTTTTTAATGCTTAAAATCTCTTGTTTTGGCAGGTGCATTGGTTTTGGTGATACTAGGAAAAGTACTGATGATTACACAGCAGTGAACATGAGCTGCAGACATTCTAGCTTAAGTGTTTTTTCTTTGTGTCTACTGATACTAAGGAGCAGGTTCCTGGCTAGGTGTTTAAATATTAAATTATTTTATATAGTTATTGCAAAATGTCTTTAAACTGTAGCTTGAGAGAAATTTCCATAAAACCATTCTTTTTCTCCCCTTCTTCATAACTTTATTTCCTACAGACAGAGAGGAGCTGTTTTCCAGCATCTTAAGCTGTTCCTGCCTCCCTGCTTCAGCTCCTAGTAAAGAGCCAAGTGTCACAGAAATAGTAATTTTTCTCCCTTTCCTCTTTCCTGCTGTTGTTGCCAGGGTTTGTTCCTACTTGTGAGCAAGCGGCACAGGGAAGACGGAGGGACAGGGGGAGGAGTTCAGACTCACTGTGCAAATACATAGAGATGTACTAATCTAAACTGATGCCTTGTAGGAAAAAAATCACAGATGAAGCAAGCAGCTAACGATGGCACAGTCAAAGGCTCTCTTAGTGCTGGAAAATTTTATAGGTGGCAAATTTGTTCCTTGTTCCTCCTACATAGACTCCTATAATCCATCCACCGGAGATGTCTATTGCAAGGTGCCAGACAGTGGCAAAGAAGAGGTGAGTACTATCCAGATGTACAAGGAGTGAAAAATGTTACATGCATATTACAAGTCTTTTGAGTGAGAGAGGCTGAAGGTGAGAGAACAGAAAAACGATGAAGACTTAAATGAGTAAGTTCTCGGTAGTATTGTAGTGCTGTGTAATCCATTGCTGCTGGGTGGTTTTTTTTTTTTACATTTTGATGTTAGAAAGTTACAGTCTGGATCCTAAGCTGGTGTGAATCAGCAAGGCTTCGGTAACTTATGTGGAGCTCCTTCAGCTCACATGGGAGATGTCTTGTGTATAAATTAACAATAACGCTCAGACTGGTTGTAAGTGTAAACAATCTGTAAGTGGGAAAAAGGTTTTTTGATCTCCTCATGAATAAATGTAGAGGCACCATATACAACTGTGTTCTCCCTCAGTGTCTTGATGGTTTGAGTTTTTATTTAAAAGGATTTTTGGCTTTCTGCCTTTTCTCTGAAGATGGTAACAAGCTTCCAGACCTCTCTGGTTTTGGTATTAGCAGTTGGGCATTCAGTGGAAGTGTTGAAGTGGCTGTGGTGAGTGCGTTTCCTCTGTATCAATGTCAGGTTTCCTGGTCCTGTGCTCTCCCGTGGGATGAATGTTTCCTGGTACCTTATATGTATTCAGGTGTGGATGGGCAATGGATCCCATTGAGGAGCTGCAGTTTCATTGATCCTACTGTATAAGAGACCTACAAGTTTGTGTCTAGCAGTCTTTCAGATTTACTGGAGAGAAAACAAACAGGACAAACTAGTATAGCACAAAGGGCTTGGAAAATACTGACAAGCAGTGGACAGTATTTTACAAATGTTTCTTTAAAACTAACTACTAAAGTGTGTAGCTGTTCCCCTCACTTGCATTTCAGCCTTATTGACATCTTTTCTCTTTGCTTCTCTCAGCAGAAACCTTTGCACTGTAATTTCAACTGAGTAAATATTTGTTAGATGCTGATGATCGAGGGTTAAAGAGTAACAGGTTTGGTTTGTTAGCAAATATCTGTGTAAGTTCATTCCAACCCTAATTATGCCTGGAAAGACTTCTCTTTGATGTGTAGGTGCTAATATTCCTGTTCATTCATTGCAAAATCATTAAAACCAGAGATATGTGAGAATGCCAGATCAGGCTAAAAGAGTAGGCTCTAGAGATACAGCTCAAGTATGCTAAGAGCAATGGCATTTCTCTTTCAGCTTTGAGTTAGTGGTTGTGCATGGCATTGGGAACCCAGTTTAAGCACCTGTAGATTTGGTGAGTGCATTACTCCTGCACTTAGGTAACTGCAAGAGGGTTGGGCTCTGCAGAGCTGGCATCCACTGGTGTCTGATGGAATATGCTGAAGGGGAAAGTGCAGTCACATACGACTTGAGGATATGTGTCTAGACCCAGGTTTGACAAAGAACTTGGGATGCTGAATTCCAGCAAAGCTCAATGTCCAGTTGTTGGGTTTTTTTCTTGGTTAATTTTAGTGGAAGGTTAGAAGGTGAAACAGAGGGAAGCAGCCAATCTGTTGCTGACCCTGGAGTTTAACATTGAGGTCAGCTACAGGGGCCATTTCAGTCACTTTCAGCCAAAAACACAGAATGTGGTTTTTTTCAGGGATTAGTTTGTCCCCCAGCCAGATGTCTTAAATTCCAAATAGCAGTACCAGAGCAAGCTGAGCAGGTGCCCTGTATCTCCAAAAGACAGACTGGTGAGGACTAATTAGTGCTGGCAAATGCCTACTTAAAAAAAGTCTCTTTAAAGACCCTTGCTGTGGTGAGTCATTCCCCTTCAAAAGCAAACATCATGTCCTGAGGGCAGCTCAGTTTGGAGTATTTTGATATCAACTTTTTATGATGAGTCTGGATCATGTGTTGTTTCTCTGTGTCAGTCTTGTGCAGAAGGAGAAAGCAGAAGGAAGTGTTTCAGACACACGAGTTCATAGTTGAATTCTTATGTGTTTTCTTTGTGGCTTGACTTTGCTTCTTTTTGGTAGTCAAACTAAGTAACTGTTTAACCTCTGTACACTCTCTTATTTCTGTACAAATCTCTTCCCTTTTTTCCTCTTGCTTTATTTAAGATGAATCTACTGCCACTTAATTCCTTCCTTTGCTAGTTTTCTGCTGTCTGTGAAAAAGCAACACCTTTGTTGTTCTTCTAAATCCACTGAAGGGTTAAAAATGCAGATAGTCATAACTATCTCCTCTCCTGAAGCACAAAGCATCTGGTGGAAAAGGGCAGAGGAGAGGGCAGGTGAGCAGCAGCACCACAATGGCCCCTAATGACGGGATGGTGGAAGAACAAGTTAATTAGTGAACGTGGTATGGTTTCACAGAGAGTGAATCTTATCAGGGTAGCGTGGCATCCGCACTGGACTCACGCAGGAAGCTGCGGTTCCCCTTTCACAGACCCACTTCGGTTCCACTTCAGCTGTTCAGTGCCTGAGAGCCTGCTGCCAACAGCACTTGAGTAGCAGGTTGTTGAACTACAGTTGAAAGAGTAGAGTCTAAGTTTCTGAGCTTGGCCAGTGATCCGTGTGACCTTGTGCGTGGGGCTTTATTTCCTGCCTTGGCCTCCACACCAGTTTTATTCTGGCTCTAAAACTCTGGTCCTTATTTTCAGGGGGACTATAACTATAAATTCTGATGTGCATGGAGAGAGGATGGAGGAGGGGCCAGTAAAGTTTTTCACCTGGTTGAACTTTTGTGCCCTCATTGGTAAAATGTCATTGGAGTGTCTGTAAATTATTTTGTGATGGTTTTTATAATGCCCATCACAATCTGAAGGAAGTTTTGTGGAACTGGTGGAAAGGAGCCTTCAGTGACTGCATGGGAACCAGCAATGTGGCAACCATTACGAGAGGTCATAATGGTCTGAATAACATTTCATCAGCGTCCTCCTAGTTTCTGATTTTGGCAGATTTCCATTTTCTTCCAAATTAAGAAATTTTATAAGCAAAAATTAGAGGAAAGCAGCTAAGACTGCTTTGGCTAAAACCCACCTTGATGCATATATTAGATACTGGGACCAATGAAAAAGTGATAAATAGGAAGCAAAAATTGGGAAATAGGGCAGTTAACTAAAATATGGAAGGATGTTGGTGACCATCTTCAATTAGACTGAGAGACTGGTAAACACCAAGAAGGAACTGCTTATAAATAAACAGATGCAGGTAACTTCCATTTAAGAGTCCAGAGGAAATGACTGATGGCAGAGAAAGCTTTGTGCTGTATTTTAATCCTTTGACATCTGGTCTGCTTCAGAAAAGTGCTGGTAATCCACCACTGTTCAGAAAGGTCAGGCTGAAGGACCATGCAGATGTACATCTCAAGCAAAATACTGACAGGACTGGAATGCATCTATATAAATTTCTTATCTGTAGGCTTTGTTAGGTGTCTGATGAGAGAACTGACTAAACCCCAAGTGTTTAGAAAGGAGCTGCTTTTTTTCTGTGAGGGCATTAATGACTTTCTAGCAGTGATCAGGCAAGATAAAATTTTTCTCTGAATGTCCCTTCTCTAAACATATTCTTAGTCCTTGCTTGAACCAGATGGTAGAAATGGAAGAGGAAATCCAGGGCAAGCAAGGCATACATTCCTTCCACAGGTCTTTACTTTGATCATTGTTTGGTGTGGCTCAAGTCCTGTGTTGCAATGACTGTGGATGTTTAGACTGAAGCTGCATTTGCTCTGGAAAGATTCTTGCTCTTCCACGAGAAACAAGATTCTGATTCATTATGGTCAGTGGCACTTGCTCATGCCAACTGACCAGTCTGACATTTCCTCCAGGCCTGGAGGGTTGCCCACAAGTTGCTGAAATTTAGAGAAAAGCAAGAGTTTCAGTGGAAGTTTCTTTTCTAGATACTCTATTTCAATAACACTTCTTGAGTTATGGGATGGTGACAATGGAGAAGCTCTAAGGAGATGCTATTTTCCCAGCACTGTGATCTGGATTTTTAGGCCCTGAAATATGAATTCAGCTGCTGAGTGTTTGATATTTTCTTATGCCTTTCATTAACATTCACCATCCCTCATTTGCTTTTTCAGGTGGAAGCTGCTGTCAAAGCTGCCAAAGATGCCTTCCCAGTTTGGTCCTCAAAAACTCCATTGGAAAGATCTCAGATCCTGAACAAATTGGCAGACCTGATTGAACATGACCTGGAAGCATTTGCACAAGCAGAGTCAAAGGATCAGGGTAAAAATTGGAAATGTTGATCTCAAATATACTATCCCAAATATAGAATTTCAATATTGCTGTGAATATTGAAATGGAGGATTTGGATGAAGTTATTAGTATGGTATGAACTGTTGGAGCAAATTGGAGTTGATGTGCCTAAAGTTTGAAGAAGTTTTGGATTTTGGATTCCTGGGGCATTCTTGGTTTTCAGACTTGCTGACTTTGAATTCAGTTGTTCGATATTTGGAATGTGTTTCTAGGAGGGACCTGTTGTCATTGACTATGGTTGCACTGTGTTGGAGATTACTTGGGTGCAGGACCAAAGTCATTTCTCTAAAACCATGCAAATCAACTACAGAGCAGAGTATAAAGCACTGTTTCAATCCATGGTAACAGCAGCACGCTTGTTTTTATTTCAGGGAAAACTATTACGTTTGCCAGAACAGTGGACATCCCTCGGGCCGTGTACAACTTGCGATTCTTTGCCTCTTCCATCCTTCATCATGTCACAGAGTGCACCGAGATGACAGCCATGGGCTGTGTGAATTACACCTCGAGGGCACCGGTGGGAGTTGGTATGATGCTCCTGACGTGCTGAAAAGCTTGGCAGAATGTCTGCTCCAGCAGTGGCTTGGCAAAGAAAGGATTTTTTTCAAACGCATTCATTGTCTCTGAGTCATGTGCTAAATGTGACTTTTCTGCTAAAGCATCAGCTGCTTCGTGTAAAATCAGTTATGCTACTTCATGGCAAAAAAAATAGAAATAATCTGTATGCCTTAAAAAGCTAACTTGGTAACTCTGGCCCTAAAAATCTCACGTGTTTTGTATGTGTCTGTGTGGGTGTTACAGCCGTGGATCAATGAGGTGTGCAGAGTATAGTGCTGCTGATCCTGCGGGGAGAGCAGAATCCTCCTCTCCTGCGGGGAAACAGGAATAGTTTGCGATGAGTCTGTGACCCGAGTGCACATGGGTGGATGAACCACTTCTAACTGGGGAATTGCTGAACTCGGCCACTAGATGCTGCTGGTGCTTCAGAAATAAAGCAGCTGTGCTGAGCTGACAAGTAACAGTGTTGTCCTGATTCCATTATATATATAATATAAATAACATGAAACATTAAATATATATGAGTGCTCCACATCTACACTTGAATTATTTAAAATATAAAATTGGCTTACCTAGAGGACCCATTTAAAGTTTTCTTGAGCAGTGGAGAACATGACAGCTTCTGGTAAAATTACTCTCGTAAGAAAAAGTCCCTCACTGCATCTGATCCATCATCCTGTGGCTTTTGCGAGGACTCAACTAATAATTGCAGATTTTTTTTCATTATTACCTATAAATATGTGAAGTTAAAGTGTTCCCAAAGGCAATCACTGAAAAAAATTCTGATGATTCAGCAATTTGTGGGAACAACAGTTTGTACAGTGATAAACTTTGGCACTCATAAGTTAGAGTAAACTTTACCTGGAAACGTGTAGTATATGTTATACATACTTTTTAAATATTGAAATTGAAAAATAAAAAAAAAGCTTTAAAGAGCAAGAGAAGTCGAGTGATTGAGCTAATATATTCAGTGTGGAGAAGAGAAAGCTCTTGAGAGACCTACAAGAGAGCTGAAGAGGGACTTTTCACAGGGACATGTAATGATAGGACAAGGGGTAATGGCTTCAGACTGAAGGAGGCTAGATTTCGATTAGATATTAGGAAGAAATTCTTTACTGTGAGGGTGGTGAGACACTGGAAGAGGTTATCCAGAGAAGTGGTCAATGCCCCATCCTTGGAAATATTTGAGGCAAGGCTTGGTGGGGCTTTGAACAACCTGGTCTAGTGGAAGGTGTCCCTGCCCATGGCAGAGTGGTTGGAACTTGATGATCTTTAAGGACCCTCACAACCCAAACCATTCTATGATTACCTTCACTTTGTTTGCTAACACAAAGTACTACCATAGACCAGATGATGTAAATGATATGGCTAACCTTGCATTAATGTTCCTACAAACACTGAAAAACTCCTGTAAATAGAAGATTCTGCACTGAAGAAGCAGCAAAACTTTTTCAGAGAGTTTGTGAACTCTCTCTCTGAATACTTTTACAATCATTTACACAGACCTTTTCAAGTTATCTGCCTGTGAAAAATGCTGCAAATGTGTTGTACAATCATCTGGAAATAAAAACCGTAACCAAGTTCCCTTCATAAATCCAAATTGGTGTGTAGCTGCTGAAAATCAGAGAAATGAGTTTTGTATCTCAGCAGAATGAACTCCTGTCGTGGTTTTGCTTTGTAGCTGGTTTGATCAGTCCTTGGAATTTGCCACTCTATTTGTTGACCTGGAAAATTGCTCCTGCCATTGCATGTGGAAATACTGTGGTTGCCAAGCCAAGTGAGATGACTTCTGTCACAGCTTGGATGATGTGCAAGCTCTTGGAGAAAGCAGGTAAGTCCTGTAACATGCTAAGGATGGGGAATGGGGTGGAAATGCTTGTCTGAGCACCACTTTTGTTGTTGCACAAAAAGAGAAGGTGCTTTGGGAAGGAGTTTGCTGTAACTGGATGTTGCACTGGAGAACAAAAAGCTCTCCCTGTCCTCATAGTATCCCATCTCCCCACCCCAGCTGTTGCTCTATTTTTTCCACTATCTTCTGATGATAATTTTTTGTGTTCCTCCTTTCCCCCTTATGCACTCCACTTAAGGATGTCCTAAGTCTGTAGTGCCAACAGAGGAGCCATGAGAGCATAAGAGAGTGAGAATCAGTTCTTGGTAGCTGTCACAACTGTATTTGGCACAGAGTTAGTTAAAACTGGGAGGGCGATTGCTTCTTCCCTGAATGACTGAAAGCTAGATCTCTGATGATAGATATCAGGCAAGCTTGACTGACTGGTGGAATTGGTTTTATCATTTAACTCATCATCCTCAGGGCTATTTAACATCATGCATTTCACCTACTACTTAAATACAGGTCAGTATTTGTTACCCTAGAGCTACCGGTAGTTTTCTAACTTCAGGGACAAAACACAATGAAGTGAAACCCACTGAGCAAGGGGAAGGGTATGATGACCGTGTGCCTTTCTTCCCATCAGGGGTACCTCACGGGGTGGTGAATATGGTGTTTGGGACGGGTGCCAAGGCGGGAGAAGCCCTCGTCTGCCACCCCGACGTGCCGCTGATCTCCTTTACGGGCAGCACGCTGACGGCCCAGCGGATCACGGAGAAAAGTGCTCCACACTGCAAACGGCTTTCGCTGGAGCTGGGAGGCAAAAACCCTGCCATCATCTTCGATGATGCCGACTTGAGTCAGTGCATCCCCACCACCCTGAGGTCCAGCTTCGCCAACCAGGTGCCTCTTGCCTCTGCAGCCTGTAAACCCTGTTTGCAGCAGGAGGGGCACGTGTCTCAGAGTGTGTGTAATGTGCACATACCTCTGGATCCAAATCCTGAATTGTCAAAGGCTGTTTCAAGATTGTGTTGTGAGCAAATCCTAAGTAGAAAAATACTTTATTCCACAAGCAGGGAAACAACAATAGAGGGCTCTTCTTTGTGCTCTGTCAGAAGATAACAAGGTGTCATTAATCCTCTCAGAATAGATACATTGCTTGTCTCTCCAGGAAGTAGCTGCTTTAAATTCCACTGTGCAAGTAAGTGGGAAACTTGCTGGTTTGCTGGAATTAAATTTGGAGACTTTCTCCAAAATTTTAACATTGTTCTTTTCTCATCACCACCCTCAGGAGTGCTCACCAAAGTCAGGAATTTGTATAAGGGCAAATGTTCAGAAAAATAGCTTGGTATCAGAATGGGAATGAACACAGAGATCATTTGGAGTTTTAAATCACATTTCTTGTGAAAAATGTTGGAGAAGAAAGTGTGTAATCAATGAAAAATCAAATTTACTTATGGTAGTGACTGCACAATCCTGATATTGTTTTGGTTTTTCCTTCTCTTTTCCTATTTTATCTGGAAAAAATTCCACTTTGTAGTGCTGGTGAATGTAGTTTACACTTCTGAGGATGCAGGGACACAGGTCTTATTCTTTGATGTGACTCCTAGTATGTGTCACTAGTACAGTTGGAATATGAACCAATATTGTTGATTTCTGGTTTGTTTTTTTCTTTTTGGTAGGGTGAGATCTGTCTCTGCACCTCCAGGATCTTTGTTCAGAGGGGCATATACAACGAGTTTTTGAAGAGGTTTGTGGCAGAGGCCAAGAAGTGGAAGACTGGGAATCCCTCAGATCCTACAGTCAACATGGGAGCACTAATAAGTAAAGAGCATCTAGAAAAGGTGATGTTATATGGAGTTTACATGATCTCATCTATTAGAGGGGTTCAAAAGGTGATTTCAGAGGTACATGGAAAGGATCATGTCCTCTCCAAGATTAGCTCTGAGGGCTGGTGACTCAAAGCTGTCATACGGTATCTTTTTAATGAGGTTCTTGTTGTTTATGGCCTGGGATCACATGATTCCTCTGGAAAAATCAACTCCCTGGGGAAAATATTTTAAAATGACAAAAAAAATATTTCTTGTGTTTGGAATGAAAAAATTACAATGATTTCTAAATCCTGAATTTATACTAATCTTAGACCTCAGCAAGATTTTCATGGATTTTAATAGTACATTTTCTGAGATCACTTATTTAGCTAGTAAGTTTGGTGACAAGGTAAAAGTCTTACTTTTATATCACTCTGCCAAATTCTGGGGAGTAAAAAACACAGTTTGCTAGAACTTCTTGCAGCAATTTGGAATTGCCTATGTGCAGAAAGCAGCTGAAATGGTGCATAGGTAGACATAGTCTGCTTTAGTGGCTTACATGAAATGAATGTTATGGTGTCAGAGTTCCAAACAGCAGATGCTCATATCCCAAAACTATCTCACACAACCAGCATAAGCAAACCAAAACCCACAGACACTGAGAAAGCCAGACCTTTGTCATGCTTCCTGATGCCTCAACAGGTTTTCCAGGTTCTCCTGTTCTGAAGTAGAGTGGTAGAAACACCCACTTCCTGAGGTCCTCAGTCTGTGGCACCACAGAGGACTTCCAAGTTTAACCTACCAAGGTGGCTAAAAGGAGAGAAGGTAGCCCTGTGGTATCTCTGTGGCCTTTTTATAGGGGAAGTAACCAGGCAATGACTGCAGAACAGCAGAAGCAGATCAGCAGCGTGTCCTGTGTGTTCAAGGTAGTAAGCATATGGTAACAGCAGCCATGGAAACATCATTAATAATGTACTAATGAGATTTTCTATAGAATTCATGGCTTCATCATCCTAGTGGCATGTGAACATTTAATAAGCCTGCCTGTGAGGCAGGAAAATATTACTGACCTCATGGAGTAAATGAGTGAACCATGGGACGAGGCACATGACACACTGTCCAGGCTCCTGGAGGAAAGGAGGGAGGCTCTGGGACCACTTGTATTTTCACCAAGGGTCCTACCCTTTTGACAAGGCTTAGTGAGAAGGACCAGCAGTGTTGCCTGCTAGTAAGTGTTTGGAAAGAGAAAACAATCTTTTTTTCATCAAGAAATACCCAGCTTTACACATAAAGAAACATTACAACAAAAGCTAGGGAATTACCCTCTGCTGTAGGAAGGCAGCATGTTTCAGCTGAAGATGTTCAGGGGCTCCTGCTGATGTGTGGACCCTCAGGTTTTGGTGTCCTTTAGGACTGATGTTTTCCTGCTGCTTCCCCAGGTAAGGAACTATGTGAAGAAAGCCCAGGCTGAAGGAGCCAAAGTCCTCTGTGGAGAAGGAGTGGATTCTTTGGCTCTCCCACCTGACAACCAGAAAGGCTATTTCATGTTGCCCACAGTTATTACTGAAGTCAAGGATGAATCTTGTTGTATGCAAGAAGAGATCTTTGGTCCTGTGACATGTGTGGTAGCATTTGACACAGAAGAAGAAGTGATCACAAGAGCCAATGGTGTGAAATATGGCTTGGCAGCCACTGTGTGGTCCAGCAACGTGGGACGCGTTCACCGGGTAGCGCATAGGCTACAGTCTGGATTGGTGTGGACCAACTGCTGGCTCATAAGAGATCTGAACTTGCCATTTGGTGGGATGAAAGCCTCAGGCATAGGAAGGGAAGGAGCAAAGGATTCCTACGAGTTCTTCACTGAAGTCAAAACCATCACAATAAAGCACTGACATATGTCAGCAGAAGTATTTTAGAGTAAAATAAATGACAGCAATTTGAGCTACCAAAAATGGCTTTCTAGAATACAAGCTGCTATTGTAGCCATCTTGTTCTTGAACTTTGGTCAAGTAATATCTAGGACAGCTGAAAACAGTCATCCCAAATGCTAATGTTGAAGGCAGCTTTTCATATTGGATGAGAAGATCAGTGTGGACTCCACAATCAACACATCCTGAGGCAGATGGCTTGCCTTTCTTACAGATCCTAAAGCTTTTTGAGTATTCCTGTCTCAAAAATTTGTCCCTTGAAGGCAGATTGGAGAAAGAGGCATGTATACTATACCTCTGGTTGGTGAATTACCCTGAGGGACAAAGTGTCAAGCACGTGGTGAAGCTGATACTGTAATGGGAATCAGCCCATTTTCACTCTGTATGGTATAGTCCACGTATAAATCCATATTGCACTTCACGACATCCGACAAGGACTAATGCTCCACCACACAGAAAGCCTGAGGAACTGCCTTTAACCTACTAAATAGTTTTAAACTGTGGGATTGTGTCATTCTCATGAAATTAACAGAGACAATAAACATTTTAATTATAACCTGCTTTATGGTATGCAGTTGAATCATCCTAAAACCTGTTCTCTGTTTTGAAATTAAAACCTTTTGTCACTTCTAGGCCTCACTGATAGTGGCTTTTACATCCCTGCACAAAGACATGGCTGCATCACAGGCAGTGTCATTCTTCCTTAATAAAACCTAGAAATTACTCCTAAGAGAACTAACTGTTGGCAATGTTTGACACCAAAATGTAAAACCATTTCCAACTTTTTCTCATTTGTTTGCCGAGGGTTTTTAAAATCAGGTATCTCAAAGACTTGTTTGCATTGCACAAGGAGAGAAATAGAATTGGATACACATTTACTGCCCTGAGAAGTCTACCTTGCTATTGAATTTTTAAAGCAGCCCTTCATGATGTATTTTTCAAGTTTTGAGCTGCATTTCACAGGAGACAAAGCTGCATGGAGTTTCATAAATGCTTGTATTCTGAGGAAAGCTAATGAGTCATTGGGATATTTTTGCAGGGGTTTTGGAGGAATAAAAGGGTACCTCTAAAATACAAATAAAATAAAAGATGAAAAATTATTACTGATGAGATGTGAAAGAATAGAGTAACAAATTGCCCTGCAGCTCCTTTGCACACCAAAAAACCCCCAAACAAAACAGAGAGATATGGGGTAAATAAAACATACAATTTTATTTTTGTGATTTATAAAATTCTTAGAGTTGTGGAGCTATGATGTGCAGGGCTACAATACTTTATGAGGCTGATGCTGACCATCTAGAGGAGTCTCTAGGCCAGTTTATGAATACCAATCCATACCTGTATTTTGAATTTTCTATCTAATATAAGTTTTTTTGGCATGGTTTTCTTTTTGAGAATATATTTTCCAGAGAGGATTTAGTTTTTCATTTTTGAGTTTGGCCAAGCTCATGCTGGATTTGCACTTTGCTTAGTGAAAAAAAATAATTCCAACAGGCTGTTTCAAGTTGCAGCTGCATAAAGGCAGTCTTTTCTCTCTCTTTAAGAGCTTTTTGATGAGAGAAGGCACTACAGTAGTTGTGGTGTTGTCCTCACTTTGCACAAGTTGTGTCAGGGACTCTCAAGGTCTTAGAGCAGGGGATGGATCACACCCCCCTTTCAGAAGCATTTGCTACATGTCCTGAATCGGTTGAAAAGCTGATTTTTTCTTTCAGAAGACTTCTTGAAAATAACTTTTACCACAGACCTGAGGCTCAAGTGTGTGAGGAACCTTGACATCTCTGGATCCCACCTGGTAGCAGGGCAGACCTACCCAGGCAGGCTAGGACCGTGGACATCTGATAGATTTGGTACAAGTACTCCCAGCTGAAGACGAGTTAAGGAAATACGTAAAAATGTTAGGCTTGATTGAATTTATGTATTCTGAACCAGCACATTTTATTTTAAAACTGCCTAAATCTATTCTTGACCATATGGTGGCAGCAGAACACCAGCCACCCAGTCACTCATTTTGCTGCGAGGGGAGTGAACAGCTCTATCAGTACATGTTTCAGTCTGTCAGGTTTTTGGTGGTTTTTTTGTTTTTTGGTTTTTTTCATAATTTACAAATCCTCTTTGGAAGAGCAAAAGAACTCACAAGGTGTGAAATACTTCATTAGCTGGGGGATGGGGAGCAGACATTTTCAGCAATAACAGATGGTATATTGCACAATTAGTAGATATGGATGGATTCCTTCCCCCACTTGGATCTGGACAAAGTTCAGTTTTAATGTGATTAGTTTTCTTTCAGGTGTTTTTTTTTTTGTTTGTTTTGCATTAGATGTGATGGGATATTTCACATCCAAAGACAAAGGCCTGTGTGTCATCTATGTGTTCCTGGCCCAAGGCATCAGAGATGTTTCATAGAGAGGTGGAGTAGTAGGTAGTACCCTCAGGTGAGGGGTATGGAAGTGGTGGCTCCATGTCTAGTATGCCTCTGAGGGTTTCTCAGAGCTGAACTCCTGGAGTGCCCCATTCAGTCATCCCTGTGTTGAGCATCTTAGAGAGGTAAATCATTAGCTGGTGCTCATGATGTTGCTTACTTTTGGGCAGGAGGGAGAGCCCATGTGAAGATATTGCATTTTCCATCTGTAATGGATGTATTAATTTCTTCTCCAGTTAAAGTGCAATTCAAGTGCCTGACTTATTCTGCTATTTCTTGCCCTTTCACACATGTATATGCACAGATGTGTGGGTGTTACCTGATGGGAAGATTTCTTTTCCTGCCTGTAGTCATGGGTAATTCTTGCATTTCCCACACTCATGTCCAGCCTCAGGTCCTAGCCCACAAAACTGTTGCAGGTGCTTGTGGCAGTGAAGCAGTGACACGAGAGAGATTACCTGCTTGTACCAGGGGCTCTCTGTGAGGACACTAAATTCTTCTGTATACTAAATGATATGAACTTTCCCATGCTTTTTTTCCACACTGACTTCCAGCGTAACAATGTGCATGGATAATTGCCTCATGTCACATGTGAAGCCATCCAAGAACTTCTTCCTGCAGATGATAAAGGTGTCTGTTGCAGCTGGTTTTTAACTGAATTTTCTGCTCTCACTCCAAGTGCACAGCAAAGAGGATATCCTGGAGGATGAGGCAGGCTGATCCAAGGCATCAGGCTGACAGCTCTTGCGCAGCTCTCTGGGCTATGCATCCCGGAATTTTCCAACACGGCCGCAAAGCTTTTTTTTATAGACTGCCCTGGCTTGTGCATGAAATCATGTGGCCATTGTGAGGATTTGTTTAATTACTGTTATGTAAAGCTGGAAGAGTCGCTCCATCTGTTAATTCTTACTGATGGAGTAAGTACAGTTCTGTTTAACGTGAAAAGATTATCTCATTGGTGTGAGATGATTACATGGGGAGGTATTAATATATTTGCCATACTTTACAGCTCTCAATTAGCATAGGATTTTTTTTGTTTTATTTCAAATCTTTTCTCAGCCTGTTTATATCTGTATCCAGTTATTGTATAATGCTTGAAAGCAGCTTTGCTTAGGGAGTCTCTGGACGTACTTTGAAGAGGAGACACATCAGCTCTAATGTTTATATTCAAATCAAGCTATGTCCCTCTTCCCACAGTGTTTGTAACTTAAGCAAAGCAAGAAGTATTTGGAAAATTCTCAGGGATGAAAGCAGACTTAACTTCTTGCGTCAAAGAAAGTTTCATGCCTAACTTAAATGAGCAGACTAGAATGTAAGCTAGGCTAGTTTTAAAACCTTACCTTTGATTTTCCAAACTTCAGAAAGCTATACCTTAGGATTCAACTTCATAAGTAGAGTCAGATCGCTAAGATTTTCATCTTAATAACAGCAACAAAAGAAGGAAAAATAAAAAAAGGCAGTAGGATCATGAGGGAACTGTGAGAACCTTCCTGTCAGGGTTGTCTTTGGGGCTGAGGTATAAGTTTTTGCTTGGGTAGAAACATGCTTGCTCAAAGCCTGTCTCAGCTCTAGAAGGGATGCCATCTGAAGTGTTCAAGTACTTGACTTTAAGATTCTTATTAAATCTATGGATTTTCTGCATGGTGAGAGAGTGAAAAATGAAAATGGAATTAAGTTTTCCTAGGCTCAGAGGAAGACCAATGGCTCAGTTTTCACCCTAGTTAGGAATTAAGTATGCTGTAGAAAGTAAATGTAGCGAATAAAGGACACCCACAACACTTGCAGGAAATCCTGGTGACTAGGACATTTTCCTCATTGAATTCTGTACCTCTCCTGTCCAAGCATTTGTTTTTGTACTTGGAGGGTGATGCTTATACTTATGGGGTGACAATGCATGAGTTTTGTTCTAAAGTATATCAAATCACTTTTGGTTACACTTGTACCTTAGGTGAAGAGCAGGGTATAATGAGAAAAAGAGGGAAGCCCTGCAGTATCGTAACTGGGTAAATCAGATGCATTTTAATGCAGCTGAAAGCTAGTTATGCATCCAGAAACTGTGTGTGGATGGTGCTGCCTCCCAAAAAGGAGCAATTGAAAAGCATTTGGAGATTATGAGGGAAAGCATAATCAGGATGAGAATACCAGTTCAGCCAAACCAGCCCAACAGTGTAGAACTTAGCATGACCTCTGCTAAATCATTGCAACTAACAGGGGAGCCAGCATGATCCCAGAGAGAATAAGCAGAAATGTGCTGAAACTGGAAATAATCTTTACCTCTGTATGTAATATTGCTGTCCCATTGTGCATCAATTTCTGTTCTCTTTTAAAGGATATGGAGGGAGGAAAATCATTGCAAATATTGAAAAAAATTCCTCCTAATGTGGGACTCAGACCTTGGATGATATGTTGCAACATCTTTTGTTTTCAGAAACACCTGTTTTATCAAGAAAACTGGTGTGTATGTGTGTGTGTGTTCATATGCAGGGAAGCAATTACAGGGGTCAGTGATGAGTCCAAAGGAGCAGATGCACTCTACTGGGCTGCT